AAAACACAAAGTGTTTTCAAAACTAAAAAAAACAAATACAAACAAAATATCACATCCAACCCCATAATTATTTTACTTTTTCTCTTACAAACATCACATCCAATCACAAAAAAATCTAATTATCTTCCCAAATACCAAAATTTTTTTATCCAATAATATCTTACAACTAAAAAAATCTACATAAAAACCCACTTCCCAAACACCCTTTGTGTATCTGTGTATAGCAATTTTTTTCTAGTTCTCTTACCTGCACTTAAGGTCTCGTTTGACAAACGACTTTTTTAGCTAAAAAATTATTAAAAAAATCGAAAAGCCAACAACATATACCAAAAAATCAAAAATTTCATTTTCTCTCTACTTTTTGCACATCTTTTCGTAAAAATTTAAAAAATTATCCTAAGTATATTAGTTTTTTTACATCATATTTTAGCCAAAAAGTCAAAAAATTAATAAAAAAATATGTTCCCAAACGAAGCCTTAAGTCTCATTTGGCAATGTAACGCCCTCAAAATAATACATAAAACCCATCACTTTAGACATGCATTGATATAAAAGAAACCAACCATCTTTCCATTAATCAGACTAGTTCTTATAAAAGTATTACATGTTAACAACCAAAGCAAATGCCCTACGGGCTTACAGCTTTCCAAGTTAACACTTGGTTACAAAAAGAAGAGTGCTAACTCAATACATATTAAGCCCTTGGCTTGAATTTACATGTAATACATCAAAAGAAAGCAAACAACAAAAGTAGTATGTCTGCCTTTAGCCTCCCAAGCTATGTCCTTGGAGGTGGCATGCTACCTGTACCTGAAAATGATGTCCCATAAAGGGTGAGCCACAGCCCAGCAGAAATACGCTAAACCACCTATGAACAATGACTAAAAGATTAGCAGTTGATAGATGGTCAACATCAATACACTCACTTATATCACATTCCGGTTTCATGACATTTAAGTCCATGTCACACTTCATTTCTCATTTCTTTTTCAACCTTGAGTTTGAAAACAAGGCTCAAAACTTAGCCAAATAACTTGATGAGAATAAGACTCATCTTAAAAACACTTTCGAAATTCATGGTGGATACACATTTTGATGCTGTATCAATAACACATAAGCCACTCTCATACTATACGAACGATGCACATTGTGGTGCTGTATCAACATGACATAGAAACACTTCTATACTTCACAATTGATAACGATATACATTTTAGTACTATATCAAATCAATCTAAACACTTCCATAATCAACACTTGATACACATTGTAGTACTGTATCAATGTCACACACAACCCGGCTTAGAGGTCCATCCTCTATCTTCCCCTAAACCGTGGAGTACATCCCCTATCTCCTCTCACACACACAATGCATATAAACATAGATCATATACATAAACAATCAATACATAAAGTCGATGTATTATTTCAACCGCTATATTCGATAGCATACTCAATCGATTAGTTTTAGTTTGCCTAATCATCATGCATTGTCTACAACAATCAAAGCTATCCTCCACCGATAGCCCAAAGCAGTTATTTCTAAACAGGAAATAAATGCACCAAATGGATATATTATCAACATTCAACCTGGGTGAGCGATTAAATGAATCCAACTACACCCGTTAGTCCCATAATCTTTTCAATTTGAATACTCTCAATTCAATTCCTCGTTTCTCAAAATTAATTATACAAATTAATTTATCCAACTAATTAGGGCATTTTCCCATAATTAACATAACAACCCCCAAGGTTCCACTTTCATCCATAGTTCATCGTCTATATCATTTCTCTATGCCAAACATGCATATAGGTTTAATTATAAATAAAACCCCATCTTTTGTAAAATTACACAAAGACCCAAACTTTCTCAAAATTACCCAACAACTCCCAACATATCAAAATGCTAAAATTCAAAGACAAAGCTCATAAAGAGGAGAACGAAGAAGGAGAAGAAAGCGAAAATGCTCCAAACACCACGATTCTCGGATCAAAACGAAGCCCTTGACGATCAACACACTTTTTACAAAGGCCGGAGGATAGGGAGACACTCTAACTAGATCAAACCCTAGAGAGAAGGGAGATCCTAGAGAGAGAAGCTCTCAAAAGTGTTTTTAGAAAGTTAGAGAGAGAGAATGTAAAAAGTGATTTTAAAACGCCCAGCTGCCAACTGATATACGACATTCCCGCTTGAGTAGATAGCAGGACGCTCGAGCGTCAAGAACAGAAAATTGAGCCCGCTCGAGCGCAAGAATTCCTGCTCGAGCGCCAAGACACAAAGACAAAACACACCCGCTCGAGCGCGAAAGACCAGTCCGCTCGAGCGTAGATTTTCATCTCCCAGGACTTTCACCAACGAGGTACTACTCGCTCGAGCGCAAGAAACCCGCTCGAGCGTAGAAAACACACTTGCAGAAGTTTTGCAGGGACTCGAAATGCTAGAAGGGTGTAAACCCCGCTCGAGCGTAAAATGACTCGCTCGAGCGGACCACTCAAAAACTGGGCAACAGCAATGGGAGCCAAAGCTCTACTAACCTGTAACAACCAAGCCCAACACATCCTAAAACTCAAACAAATGGATTTAAAAGACGACAACGAAATAGATACAACTACCAATTCCACGGAACCGAGTCCGGAATACAACTGAACAGTAAAAGGACAACCGGGATCGCTATAGGCAACTTCTAGTTTTAGCCAAAAAGCAAAAAGTCACTACAAGTAGGGGTGAGTATGGTTCAAATTGGTTCGGGTTAAGGTAAAACCAAGACCAATCATTTATCTACGGTTTCTAAAAAATTGAAACCAATCTAATCTGTTTAAATCGTGGAACTAATCCATTTAAATATGGATTGAATCGGTTTAGGACCATGGATTTACATAATTAAATAACAAAAAAAAATATATAGAACAAGTTAATTCATAAAAACATAAACATAGTATCATATTAGTTCCACAATAACAACATGTCTTTTCATAATAGCTATATATTGTTCTAGAATTTAAACAACTATAAGAAAACTGATTCACTATAAGTATTTAGACCATTACAAATTAAAATTAAAAACTAACAAACAAAAGTAATAAAAGAAAATATTATGCTGGTTTAGGTTTGGGTTTAGGTTTTACATGGAATAAGAAAAGATACTATGCGGGAGGGTGTATAATATAAATATAAGCTATTTGTATACAGTCCGGATCGGTCTGAAACAGTGAGATTCAATTCGGAACCGATCCATGGATTATGGATTTTTAATTTTTCAATCCCAAACTGAACCACGGATTCAAAAAATCAATCTAAATCCACCAGATTGGATTAGACCGGATTGGATTAGAAATTTCACAAATTTCTTACTCATCTTTAATTATAAGTTATTACATTATTCTCTCTATTTTTTTATACTTTTTTTTATAAAAATTTAAAAATTATTAAAAAAAAAATCAATTTCCAAACGAAACCCAATTCTTTCATTGATTAATCACCACCACACAAATGCTACAATTTCCTAGTCAATAGAATTAGGAGCACAGATCCTCCCCTTGCGTTCTCTCTTTGCATTCCCTCTTTGCAGGGACTTTGGGTCTACTTTTAGGTTCAATTTTGATAATTCAAACAATTCATATTTTAAGATTTATTTAGTATATCATACCTGTAAAAAATCAAGTTGATCAGATATCAGAAAACATGTGTTCGGAAAAATCGAACTAAAAACTATTTTTTTAAAGAATTTAATAAATAATTTTGCTTTCTGATATCCAATCAACTTAATTTTTAACAAGTATGATATACTGAATAAATCTTAAAATATGAACGATTCGAATTATTAAAATTGAGCTTAAAAATGAACCCGAAGACCCTACAAGGAGAGAGTGCAAGGGGAGCATCCTAATTCTAGAAGACCTGTAAGGACAAGCAAAACAAGACCCGTAAGGACAACCGTTAACAGATACTATTCCAATCTATACTATACATTAAGCAAAAGGGGGTTTCTAACCCCCAAGGCCTGTGGGAGCTCCAATATGCCAATTCTAATTTTCTAATTTTTTGTTTTTTTTTTTAAAAAAAAATTAACCTCAGCATTTATTAACTTCTCTCAACCCACAAGACTTTTTGACTTCTCTCATAATTACTGCAGTACCTTTTCCAAAACAAATAAAAAATTTATATCTATCTCTAACTCACAAGTTTTGTGGGAGTTCCAATATCTATCTATTTATTTATATCTACATCTATATCTATCTATTTATTTATATCTATCTCTAACCCACAAGTTTTGTGGGAGTTCCAATATCTGAACCTTAATTTCTTAATTTTTTTGATTTTTTTTGAAAACAAAAACTTAGCACTTATTAAATTCTTCCAAGTCTTTTTAACTTCTCAAATTCACACACTCTTTTTAACTTTTCACATATCTATTGCAAACAGTGAGTCTCCTTTTTGTTTTTTCCTGCTTGACTTCTCACTTCTACACTTTCAACTTCAGTGACCACGTATGTAAACAGTAAGTCTTCTTTTTGTTTTATCCTTCTTGACTTTTTCTTTTGTTTACTGTTTTAATATTGTAGTTAGATAGCGCATAAAAATATTTGTAATTTGTCTAGCGAATAAAAAATTATTATTTGATTTTTTAATATAATTGAAGTTAGATAAATATAAGCCCTCACAAAGAAAAAAATGTGATTATAATTAGTTGAATGATTCCTTTTTTTAATGTGATTGTAGTTAGTTTAATAGTTCTTTTTTTTCATTTATTTATTTTATTATGAGAAAAATGTGATATGATTGTAGTTTGTTCAATGACTCTTTTTTTTTAATATGATTGTTGTAGTTAGTTCAATGATTTTTTGTTAATATTATTTAATCTTTTTATTTATTATTTTAATTTTATTTTTAATATGATTGAAGTTAAATAAATATAAACACTCACTAAGAAAAAAATGTGATTGTAATGTGATGAAAAAGACGTGTAAGGACAAGCAAAACGAGACCCGTAAGGACAACCGTTAACAGATACTATTCCAATTGGGTTGAAACGAAAGGTCTCTCTCTTTCTCTCTCTCTCCCTCTCTCTTCACTTTGATTTTGAAATTGTAAAGAAAAACACACGTCCTCCGCAGGCCACCGACCGACGTCAAACCCTCTCTCTCTAGGAAGTTCTTCTCTGCTTATCAATCATCATCAGAGGGTACTGATTTAGGGTTATTGTTTTGGAAATTCGAAGTTGTTGTCAGGAGTAACAGATGAAGAGAGATAAATTAGACTTGTTTGTGTCTCTGAGTCGACAGAGATCGATTCAAGTCTTGATCGGTGTGGGGATTTTGTACATAATCATGGTGACTCTGGAAGTTCCTTTCGTGTTCAAAACTGGGTTTAGTGCAGTAACACAAGAAAGCTTAGATAGATTCTTCTTCAACGAAGCAAAGTCTCAATCTTTTGTGCTTCAAAGCGAAGAGGAATTGGAGGAAAAACAAGCCCCAATTCGACCCTTCAAAGTTCCCTTCAATGCTTCCAATCAACCCTCACAGTCCAAACCCCATAGCCCAATCCCAGACTACAAAATTTTATCGACTTTGAGTTTCAATACCAGTGTTGTAAATACTACTCGCAAAGATGGGTTTTCAGAGATTGAGAAATCGGCCATGGAAGCTTTTCAAATGGGGAACAAGTTCTGGGAAGAGATTGAATCAGGGAAAGCTCGAGAAGATGTCGAAAAGGCCACAGTGAATCGAATTGAGTCGTGCCCTGATTCGATTTCGCTTTCGGGTTCTGAATTCTCCAATAGAGGTCGAATTATGGTGCTTCCATGTGGGTTGACATTGGGATCACATATAACTCTTGTGGGGAAGACAAGAGAAGCTCATCCAGAGCACGAAACCAAGATATCGATGCTGGAGACTGGTCAGTATGTGATGGTTTCGCAGTTTATGATGGAACTGCAAGGATTGAAGACTGTTGATGGAGAAGACCCACCAAGGATTTTGCATTTCAATCCAAGATTGAAGGGAGATTGGAGCGAGAAACCTGTTATTGAGCAGAATACTTGTTATAGGATGCAATGGGGGTCAGCGCTTCGCTGCGAGGGATGGAAATCTAGGGCTGATGAGGAAACTGGTGAGTGAATTAATCAAGGTTTATCTGATTATAATTGAAAAAAAATAATAATAAAAAACTACTTGCTTTCAATTGAGTTAGAGAGAGTGCATCTGATTTTTTATTTTCACTTTTTTGGTAATAATTCATTGAAAAGATGAGAAACATGTAAATACTAAACAAAAATGCTTCGTTGTTCGAATTTGTGTTGTCCGAACGATCATTTTGAGATATTCGAGCTACTCGGGCCATGAAAATTTGGATTACAAATCGTTGTTGAATACTAAAAGGGGCATACATTTTTCTTTCTTTCTAATAACTGGGGATCCAGCCCACCTAACAGACCAATCAGGACCAATTCTATCGTTCATTAGAGGGCTCAATTAAAGCCGATTCAAAATCTTTTGACTGTCTCAAAAAATTATTTACACTAAAAAGCTTTTGAACCTGAAAGCCCAAACCTTGACCATGTGGCCAGCCCTTTAGAGTTAAAAGTGACATACTTTTGACAACCTAACCACCATTAACCTAACAGCTCATATCCTGAACCTAAACAAAGGGTTGATTTGGAAAGTGGGTTGACTTTTTGGCTTTTTAGTATTTTTGACTATTTTAGTCTGGGCTAAAAAGCTTGGTTTGGGAAGGACTTTTTAGTTTTTTGGCTTTTTTGACTTTTTTTGTGAGAGAATAGTGTAATGATTATGGGTTAGATGTGATGTTTTGTTTGTTGTGACTAAAATAGTCTATTTTGTCTTTTGTGGCTAAAATAGCCAAAAAAGCCCACAAAATCCCTTCCCAAACGGTGCCATGGTTTTAAATTATGTTTCAGGTGTGATTTTCTTATATCTATTAATTTGGTCCCCCAACATATTAATTTAGTTATTAAATAACTTTTTACAATTGATAATGGGAGTAAAGGAATTTTTGTCAAACAACATATGACACTAAATAAATTGGAAACTAAATTGATATAATTGAGACATTGATGACCAAAATAAAACAAATCACATTCTTCGGGGACTATTTTTTTTTTTTTTTCTGTTTTTGTGGATGAGTAAATGTGGTTTGATGAAAATAGTGAATAAAATTATTAATGGTAGACGGAAATAGTGAACAAAATTATTTTTCACTTTTTTTTTCCCCTGAGAAGAGAGAACTCTAGCTTTAACATCTTCTTCTATAAGCTTGATTATGTTGGACATCTCATTCTTCTTCCAGGTGAAAATCCTGATATTCCTCTCCATCCAAATGTGAGACAGAAACTGAAAATTAACAGTTCTATAAACTTATGTTTGAAAGATAAGCATGATTAGCCAAATAACTTTTCAATTAGTAGTATTCTCTATAAGGGAGAAGAAGTAATTGTAGCTTAGTTCAATCTCAACTGATCGTTTTATGGACTAGTATTTGTAAATTGTTTGCCTTACTAAAGTTTTAATTGTTGAGGGAATGATCATTCAAAACTATTCAAAAAACTAGTAACCCTTCAGTGATTGTTGACATGAGGAAAGTGAAAATAGAAGAAAACTGAAATCATAGTAAGGATTGGAATTGTGGTTGTGAGATTTTGAATTATATTTTCCTTTACTCGTCCCTTACTATCTGAGGAAGAATGAAGAAAAAATTTAGAAAGATAAAGGCTCTGTTTGTTTGTATTCTCAAATCAATTTTCTACGTGTGTTTTGGCGCATGATGTTTGGTTCCGTTTTCAAATCAATTTTCTACACTCTCTGCAGAGAACTCTGTGCGCACAGGCGTGTTTTCTGTCCAAAGGAAGACCACCCGGTAGACCACCCGGATGACCCCCCGGTCGACCACCCGGATGTCCACCCGGATGTCCGGTTAATTTCCAGATTTTTTTTTTTTTTTTTTTTGCAATTGATTTACATAATCGGGACAAATATTTTCTGAAAATTTTTAAATTTTTTATGTGCTTTAAAATAATTTTGAATTGTATGTTTAGTTATGAGTTGTAAATTTTTGTATCACATATCAAATGTCACATCAATAATTTCCACTCAAATCAAACCTCTTTTCGAAAACTATTTTCAAAACTCTTTACCAAACAAATTTTCTACACTCAAATCATAATTCCACAACACACAAACTCAAAATACAACTCATACTCTCAAATCACATTTACAAAACTCTACCAAACACTACCAAAATATCTTCTTTTTTTTCTATCAGTTTTTGTGGTGTTTTAGATTTTCTGTTTTTTTGTTGTTTTATTACTAGTTGACCTAAATTTGAAGAATTCTCTTCAATGACACAAACACTCATACCAACTTCTCTGTGAACGAGAACATAGATGATTATTGAAATTCCACTCTTTACATCCCCCTGATTCTTTCTCTGACACTCCCTGCAGTTGATGGTCAAGTGAAGTGTGAGAAATGGATCCGTGGTGATAGCAACCGCACTGAGGAGTTGAAGGCAAAATGGTGGTTGAACCGGCTAATTGGCCGAACAAAAAAGGTGACTGTTGATTGGCCATTTCCATTTGCAGAAGGCAAGCTGTTTATCCTAACTCTCAGTGCAGGCTTGGAGGGCTATCATGTCAATGTTGATGGGAGGCATGCCACCTCATTTCCTTATCGCACTGTGAGTAAAATCCTACAACCAATAATCTTATGATCAATGTGAATTCGTCCTAATGTTTTTTTGTTGATTTTTACAGGGATTTGCACTTGACGATGCCACCGGGCTATCCTTGAATGGCGATGTTGATCTCCAGTCCATTTTTGCTGGATCGTTGCCCACAACACACCCCAGTTTTGCTCCTCAGAGGATTCTTGAGATGTCAAGCAGGTGGCAGGCCCCACCACTTCCTGATGGACCTGTGGAACTATTCATTGGCATCCTTTCAGCAGGCAACCATTTTGCTGAGCGGATGGCTGTGAGGAGGTCTTGGATGCAGCACAGGCTTATCAAGTCTTCTAATGTGGTTGCTCGTTTCTTCGTAGCACTGGTAGGTGAAGACCCTGATGGCACGTGTGGTTTAAATTGGTAAATCATTTGTGTATAGCTATGAATTATAATTTGAAACTGATGCTTGGACAGCATGCAAGAAAAGAAGTGAATGTGGACCTAAAGAAAGAAGCGGAGTTTTTTGGTGACATTGTTATAGTGCCTTACATGGATAATTATGACCTTGTTGTTCTGAAAACTGTTGCCATCTGCGAATATGGGGTGAGTATTGGAATACTGTTAAAGTTGGAGGAGGTAGTGCAATATTTACAACCGGGATGCTAATCACGTTTGATGTCTTTGTTTGATAACTTTGGTTACAGGTTCGCACAGCATCAGCAAAGTATATAATGAAGTGTGATGATGACACATTTGTTAGAGTGAATGCGGTTATCAATGAAGTAAAGAAAATACCTGATGGTAGAAGCTTTTATGTGGGAAACATTAATTACTACCATAAGCCTCTTCGCTCTGGTAAATGGGCGGTCACATATGAGGTAACATCTGAATCCATTGGTTCTGCTATCTTCTTTCTTTTGTTGCTTTGACTTGTATGTGTTATCAATAAATATTTTTAACTCAAGATATTCAGATTCTGAATGGATGTGACTACTTGAGAGCTCAAATATGCTACATCTTGTAAATGTGATTTTTGATGGTTGCCTATGATATTAAATTTAAAGCTTTTCTTGGTGAAATAGATTATATGCACAGGTGAAATTTTCTGATTTTATGGCATATTGCATTGAATCACAGGGAATGTGGAGATCACGTGGAATAATTTGTAGTTTAATAATCTATTAATTTTTAAGTTTTGCAAGGGAGTCTAAGCCTATTATCACTTTTCAAACTGCATTTGTCACTTGCATTGAACGTGCCTGGTTTGAACCTGGAGAATGATAAAAAATAAAATAAAATTGTGAACGCTAGCATTAAATTTGGTAATTGTTTAGGCAAACTGTTTTTTGTGGCCTGAACTAAGCTCATTAACATTTTCCAAAGTTTTGTATTTGGTATTTTTGGATGATTCATAATTTTCTCTAGCATCATCCAAGTTTGGTTCGCACATAATATTTAATTTAGGGCCAGGGAGAAGCAAGCTACATCTTGGGATCGAGTTTCGAGATCGCAAGAATAAGATGTTAGGCTTATCCCGAATTGTATATATAGATAATATTCTGGCTAGATTTATTATGGCGGATTCTAAGAAAGGTATGGCGAATACCTCTTTCCCAAGACCAGTGTCCCAATCCCAAGACACTCGAAGATAAAGAATAAATGAGACAAGTACCCTATGCCTCGGCAGTTAGGGCAGTACTATTGTTTACTTGCTTTGTTATTTGGGATCTGTTGACTTGTTTATCTGTGAATCCATTTTGAATGCTAATAGTCTCATACCATTTCATCTTTTGTGGTGCTTCAGGAATGGCCAGAAGAAGATTATCCACCTTATGCAAATGGGCCAGGCTATACCGTGTCATCAGACATCGCACACTTTGTTGTATCCAAGTATGAGAAACATAAATTGAGGGTAGGTTACAACAAATTGCTTTTACTCTCTCATGGGTTCTTCAAGGTGATTGTTGACTAGTTCAATCTTGTGCAGTTGTTCAAGATGGAAGACGTGAGTATGGGAATGTGGGTCGAGCAGTTCAACAGCTCAAGACCAGTGGAGTATATCCACGACTTGAAGTTCTGCCAGTTTGGGTGCATCGAAGATTATTATACAGCGCATTACCAGTCTCCGAGGCAGATGATGTGCTTGTGGAACAAATTGCAACAGCTAGGCCATCCTCTGTGCTGCAACATGCGATGACAATTGGCGTTTGGTGACAGAGAATTCAAGGGTATATGAACAGAAAACAAGTTTTTCCAGTGGGAATCTGGGACTACACAAACACAAACAGGGAACAAAGAAAGTTTTGCAGGCACAGCGTTGCATACCGTGTATATTCTGTTAAACGTTGACTGCTAGATATACTGGGGTATTCAGACCCCTTCAAAATTCGTCAATTTTTTTTTTTCATTCTTTCCCTTTTTTTCCCTCCCCTTCTATTTTCCTTACAGATAATAGAAAGATCAAGTGGGTTACAAGTGCAGGAAACTTCTGTATACAAATCCTTGTTCTGTAATTTACAGAATCACAGCAGCATAAGGGATGGATTTAACTCTTTCGACTGGTTGTTTTACTGAGATTTACTGTTTTAAAGACTTTTTCTGATTGGTCCAGGCTTGTCTCCAGTCCGATTCGGACTGGAGCGTGCTTTTAGGCTCCATAGGCGGAGCTCACATCGATGATCCGAACTGTTCAATGTGTAGAACTCGTCAATTTCTTTGTCAATTTCTTCATCTCTGCAAAAAATCACATTGATCAGATATCGATAGTCATTTAATTAGATTAAGTTTGTGTTAACGTAGCTATGATTGTAAAAAAAAATTGTTGACACAAATGTGTTCTGATTAAGTGGCTATTGATATATGATCAACATGATTTTTTATCGGAATGAAGTACTCAGTGAGTCTTACACATTAGACGGTTTAGATTATCAAAAATAGGAACAAAATTTGTTAAAGTGGAATTTATTCTTTTGAAAGCATAACCCAAGAAAATATATAAATTAATTTGAAGTGAGTGAATAAAATTGTATCGTAAGGAGGTGTTTGTTTTGAGGGATAAGGCCATGGGATTGGACTAATAGTTCCTCCGGACTAATAACTATTAGTCCGTTGTTTGGTTGTTCAATTTTGCTCCGAACTATTAGTCCTAAATATGTAGGACTATTGTGTCCCATAGGGGGTGGGACACAAATGGGGGATAACGGGAGACGTGGGATAAGGGGGTGAAATAACCATTTTGACCCTCCACTATTTAATTATGTATTATATTTAGTAAAATTTAATAAAATTTAAATGTCTCAATTTAAAAATAAAATAATTTTATTTAATTTTCATTGATGTTTTATTTATTATATTTTTAAAATAATTTTTTATAAATATTTTATTGATGTTTTATTTTAAAATTTTGTTTATATTTTATTTAATTTCATTATTTAAATTTTAATAGATGTTTTATTTAATTTCATTATTTAATTATTATTTTTTAAAAATAAATTTATTTAAAATTTTAATTAAAAAATAACATATATTTTTATTGATATTTTGTTTATTTAATTTTTAAAAAATAAATTTATTTCATTGTGTAAAAAATAAAATAAAATAAAATTTTATTTAATCTAGCTAAAAATAATTAAAATATTAAAGATATGTTTAATATTGTTATTACTTAGTAAATAATTGAAAATGGTAAAATAGTAATTTGAGCATTTATCATTATCCATAATATTCCAAACAAACATAAGATTCATATCCTGTCTAACCAAATAGTCAATATCTAATCCCATGACGAAACAAATATGGGATACAAATTCATTCCAACTAAATAGTCGAGAAATAATATATTTCAGGATTAACAGTCCGGTGAATTCTAATCTCTCATTATCCAGTCCGTTCAAACAAAAACACCCTAAATGTGATAAAGAGTCAAAGTAACATTTTTCATGGCTTCCAATGGGAAAAAAATAGCGTTCTAATTCTTCAAGAATTTTAATTTTTTACAATTATTAATTTTTTTGACATTAATTTAAGAGTTATTTTTTTGATAAATCCTCTTTTTAAGTGTTTTATTCCATTTAACCTATATTCTTGTTGAGTATTCCATTAAGTCTTGTTTAATGTAATATGACCAAATCATCCTTTCTAATTTTTTGGACATGTTTCTATTTTGAAACTAATACATAACAATCGTTCCTCATGTTATAGAGAAAATCTCTCCCTCATTCTAAAGAGAAAATATTTCTCTTATTTCGTGAAGAAAATCTATTCATTATTCTAAGGTGATAATCTCTCACTCATTTCATAGAGAAAATTTCAAATTATGAATTTTGAACATTTTTATAATTTAAAAATTTTAAAAATAACACAATAAAAAATATGAATGAAAATCAAAATACAATGTAAATACTCACAGTAAATAACAAACATACAATTAACTTTTGAAGAAATAAAACACATACTAAAGTACAATGTGAATGTTCACAATAAATAACAAACATACAACTAACCATCGAAAAAATAAAATTCATACTAAAATACAATGTGAATATTCACAATTTATAATTAACATACAACTAGCCTTAAAAAAAACAACTCATACCAATGTAAACATTTACACTGCAACGTGAAAACATAAAACAAAATTGAAAAAATTGAAAATCAACTATTTCAATTGTTTAATGGTAACAAAAATAATTGTTCAACTAACAAGCATAGTAATAAAAACAACAAACATATAACTTTTGAAAAAAATAAAACTTATATTAAAATACAATGTGAATGTTCACAACTCACAATTAATATACAACTAGTTTTTAAAAAGGGGAAATTACCCATAGGTCCCATGAGAAACATGTGATCTCCATTTAATCCCATAACTTTTTCACTACACCCAAAAGTCCTTTCCTCTCTCTCTCTGCTTTTTGCTTCCCTTCCTCTCTCGTTTTTTTTTCTACATTTTTCTGTCACCGTGTTTGTCATGGAAGAGGACCACCGGTGATCATATCTTTCTCCATTGATCGGGGTTCATTGATAACCACCAAGCATTGAAATCAACTCCGACGAAGAAGATGATATATTTTCCGACGAAGAAGATGAATGGATCTACTTAGATCTGATATAGATCTACTCAGATCTACATCAGATCTGAGTAGATCTACACAGATTTTTTTTTTTTTTTTCTCTCTGCTATACACTTCTGTTTTTCTGTTCTAATGGAGAAAATTTTCGAATTCTGAACAAGCAGTTTTCGAGTTTTAGTTACAGGCGGTGAAAACTGTAAAATTTTGCAGTTTCAAATTTTTTTTTTGGTGCTGGAATGAATCATGGTTTAAAACTGTAAAATTTTGCAGTTTTATAACATTCTTTAGAACTGTAAAATTTTACAGTTTCATAACATGTTTTTTAATTTTTTTTTTCCGGCAATATTCTAGACATTCCGGTGAGTCTCCGGCGACCGTTAAACGGAAGTCCGACGGTAGTAAGATGTGAACAGTGTCTATAAATTTAAAAAAAAAAAAAGGATTTTTTGGTAACAATTAAAAATGTGTTGGACTAATTGGTGCAAGTACTTTGTTTTGGGATTAGTTGGGTTTTGAACTTGTTACATGGGACTTATCAGTAAGTTCCCCTTTTTAAAAATAAATAAATGAATAAACTCATACTAATGTGAACTTTCACATTGCAACGTGAAAACATAAAATAAAACTGAAAAAAATAAAAATCGGCTATTTCGATTATTCAATAGTAACAAAAATAATTGTTCAATCAATAAGCATAGTAAAAAAAATAACAAAATACAACTAACTTTCGAAAAAACTTCAAAAAAAATTGATACCAAAATACAATGTGAATGTTCACAATTTACAATTAACATACAACTAATCTTAAAAAAACTAAATTCATACCAATTTGAACATTTGTGGGCTCGCTTTTTTCGGCGCCCCCGCCTTTCGGAAAAGGGTTTGAAAAGAAAGGCCCTCACAGTTCGGACTCTACCTATGGTTTTGAATCTAGTCTCACAAGGGTAATGTGAAACTGATAAACACCTCCAATCCGGCAAATCATTTTGGAAAATCAATTTTAAATCAAATACTGCCAAAATTGGACTGCTTTTCTAGATTACAGAGTTGCCACCTAAATATTTTGTTTTTGGAAAAATTTAGGAAACCCTGACTCGTGCCAAAGACCACGTGTCCGTCATCACCAAAGTTGCCTCGGCTCGGGAACTTAGGTAAGAGGGGGGAAGGTCCTGAAATGAGCAACCCCGCTCGCCCGATCAAAGATCGGCTTCTACTAATCATGATATGTTGTTTTATAAACCTCATGTGTTCTTATTCTGGTTATTAGCTAACTTTACTATGTGACACATACAAACAAGTATAGACTAAATCGCAAGAATTGGAACATTTCAAATCATGTTTGTTTTGCGAAATGGTTTGAATTTGCCACCCTCAAGTGGGCTAAAACGCGGATTTGCCATCAAACATGATGGGCTCAAAACATGATTTGCCACTTTGCAAAGTGGGCTTAAAATATATATTTGTTGAACTGTTCCAAGTTAAGCAACAAAGCCTTCATCCACAGGCATTCATGCAGTTTAGCATTTAAGTACATAGTCTCATGGCAAGCATGTGAAACATGGCAATATGGCGATCACACTTATGCGAGTATGCTAAAGCATAAAACTCACTGAGTACTCCAAGCCAAAACAGAAACTAGTAAGAAAAATGCATGATCTTAACTATACAAGATGTCTAATGCAATACATGCAATGATGCAATTAATCGGCTCGGCTACTAATATGGCATATTATTTGATTTGAACAACATGCAATAAACATGTATTCAAAGAAGTATTGAAATTGCAATACAGTTTGAATGATGAGCCGAGCTTTGGTGCATGTAAGACAAATGAACGGATGCAAACATGCAAGCATAAAGTATGCTAATTGAAAATGTCCCTAATCTAACCATCAAAAGCGGATAAATAAAAGGGAGAAAGACGTGGGGTTGAAAGACATGCACACACGCACGCACACTTATTACAACATCATGCCATCGCGAATGAGGGTCCGAATGAATAGGCTAACTAGCTACGCTAATTAAGCTAACTATTACAATACGAAACTAATTAACTATTCTAGTTAACTAATTATTACAAACCAAATTGAATAACTAGCTACGCTAAGCTAATTAAAGCAATTAAACTAATTAACTAACTAAGCTAATTAAATAATTACAACCCTTGAATGAATGAATTAGCTACTACTAGCTAATTAAACAAAGCAAGTAAATGGTCTCAAGGGCGAGGGACGTATGCATGCTCGAATTCTCCTCCCAAAAATGCCACTGCCTTGCCTTTGTAGCTTCTGTTTGCACTTGCTTGAACACCAACAGCGCTGCCAACTTCTAGAACACCTCTGCTCCAACTCTGGAACACATTTGTGCAAAACTTCATTTCTGGCCGGTCGGCTACCAATGGTGGCTGGTCGGCTACGACTGGCCACCCCTTCCATGAACTTCTTTTTTTGCTGCAACAGAGAGCAAACAGAGGCAAAGCAG